CCTTCTTATATGTATGGGTTCGGATACAGAATTGTCTATTTTTAACTGTGCCGTTTGATGCCAGTACAAGTTTTCAATGCATCTTATGTCTTTTTGGTCTATATCAACTTTCTTGAGGATCTGCATTAACTTGTGGTGTTGGACACGATCAAACGCTTTTTGGTAATCCAAAAAGCATAGGAACACATCCTTCTTCTGATCGTAACAATTTTGGACCAGCACCCGTGTTGCTACTATTGCTTCTCGTGTTCCTAAACCTTGCCTAAACCCGAACTGGGAGTCACTGATGTCCCATTCACATTTTTTGTATAATCTTTGATGTAGTATTTTTAAGAATATCTTAAAAGTGTGACTAAACACTGTAAAACTGTAAACGAACAAATAAGAAAAGAAATGTAAATGGAGCGAAATATCAAGGATGACATAGAAAGAACACAATTAATCTGGTTCGGACATGTTAAAAGAATGCCAGACTTGGAAGAGGCAACTGCATATGAAAGAAAAAGATAGAAATTGGATGTGGAGAAGCGGCGACAGCCGTAATTAATCCCTTATTATTATTATTTATTAAGAAAAAAAGTACTTAAATGTCGTTATTTTAAGCAACTCTCAAAATTGATCAGAAAAGATACTTCAATGTTATATGAGCACCACTCTTTGTAAAAATGTAATCGTTATTTTCAAGCATATCTATACGTGAAAACATGTATCATAAAACATTATTTTTATGTACATACGATAATACATGCAGCTAGAGCCACCAAAGGAACATAATATAGATGTACGGTAAGAAAAAATATTATACATTTTGTTGACGGTTTGTAGATAGACGTACATAAGTATATTTAATGTTAACTAGTTATATAATTTATTATTTGTTTTAATTTTTACGTTATATATTTGTTGAGTGTACCATGTTTCCATAAATGTTTCAAACGATCATCTATTTTAAATTTTATGAAGCAAATTAATTTCTTAGGAATGACTGATAAACAGTTCAGCGCGGCAACACTGTAAATTTTGCATCTCAGTAGATTCAAGACTGAAAATAAAATAGGACTGTTAAGAAGGCAAAAAAAAGCAGAAAGACAAACTAAACTATACGGAACTAACAAATTTATCTTTGATAGTTTTCTAGGGCAGTTTAAAACAGTTTGAACATATAGAAATATGTTGAAAGTGAAGTGGGAATGTGGAACACTCAATTTTTTTTAAGGATTTGCTACAATGCATTCCAAATGGGTCAAAAGCTAGTCACTAATTTTAAGGAAATAATAAAATATGATAAATTTAGCGTAGAGGAAAATGTAACGAATTGTGAACATAAATAAAAATTTAGCTGACATGATTAGATAAACGTAAGTACCTATGTAAATTAATGTAACTAATAGAGAAATACAGAAATGAAGCTTTTAGTTTGTTTATTATTGTTATTGCCTTGTACTGCCTCAAGCAGGTTATAAAAGCCGCGATGGTGGTGTGTCGAGATAGAGCAACTGAGAAGAGAGTGTGTGGCGGGTGGAATGTGTGGATACGTATCACCGGGCGAAGAAGAAGAAGTTGAATATGAGGATCCGAGCAGAGAAGAAAAGGCACTGGAGGGAACTGTGTGACAAGCTGGACGAGGACATCTGGAAGGGTATAAGATCGCAATGAAGCATTTCGACGCCTGTGCTCCTTATGACATGCCATTGGACCAGAAGCTGGAGATAATCACCGAACTGTTTCCACAAGGACGGTGGCATGTTGTGTGGAGAGACGTCGAGGCCGAGTGTGGGATTCCCTTTACTTTGGATGAACTAGCTGTGGCGTTGAGTTCCCTTAAGTCTGGTAGGGCTCCCGGTCTAGATGGTGTTCCACCTGAGGCGGTTATACGTCTGTGCCGTTTGGAGCCCACGTGGCTGCTGGAGCACATGAATGCTCTTCTTGCCGCGAAGTCTTTTCCGGATCTCTGGAAAATCTCGAGGCTCATGCTCCTGCTTAAATTCAAGGCAGGAAAATATCGTCCTATTTGCCTTCTTCCTTGTATCGGAAAGCTGTATTAGAGAATGCTACATTCGCGTATCGAGGAGGTGATTGTGATATCTGGAGGCCTGTCTCCGAGACAATATGGTTTCAGCCAGGGTAAAAGTACAGTGGATGCGGTGACCAATGTGCTCAAGGTGGCACGGGGAATTGGGGCTGATCATCGATGGGTCATCCTGATTCTCTTTGACGTCCGAAATGCTTTTAATACATTGCAGTGGGGTCACGTAATGAGTTCTTTCGAAGAAAGAAACTGTCCTGGGTATCTGTGGAATGTGGTCGCTGATTATCTTTCCGAGAGGAAGATTGTGGTGGAACCTTGCATATGACGGGGTCTTAAACTGCGAATATGGGGAGGATGTGACCCACTTCGCATTCGCGGACGACCTTGCTATGCTAGCGGCGGCACGGGAGGAACTCTTGCTTCGGATTACGCGTGCGTGTGTCCTAGTTGAGGATTGGATGAGTGAGCATAATCTTTCTGTCGCGGAGGATAAGACGGAGGCTGTAGCACTCAGAGGCTAGATAAAGAGAGATAGGGTTGAATTTAAGTGCGCGGGAGTAACGCCCAAAAAGTACGTCAAGTATCTGGGAGTTAATCTCCACCAGGGTGGGAGATGGGGGGAACATTTAAGGGGGGTGATTCGCAGAGCTATTCAGAGAGTGGCTGCGCTGGGGATGATATGTCTAATATCGGTGGTCCCAAATCCGAAAGGAGAAGGGCGCTCCACGGTGTTGTGCAGTCTGTCGTCCTCTACGCCGCCCCAGTCTGGAGTGAGGCGGTAGAAATACCAACTTACGAGAGGCTCATGGTACGCGTGGACAGAACTAGTCTGCTGCGGGTAGCATGTGCCTACAGGACTGTGTCAGCTCCCGCTATTTGGATTATCACCGGCTGCGTTCCTTTACATGTGCGGCAGGTGAAATGGCAAGGATTCACAGTCGTAGGATGCGGAACATTGGAGAGCGAGAAATGAAGAGATAAGACTAGCCGAGAGATTGGTTTCAATCGGTCAGTGGCAACAAGAGTGGAAGGCAGCACGGGATGTGGCGGAGTGTACGAAGTCACTAATCCCGAACCTTCGAAACTGGGTGGACTGTGGGCATAGGCAGCTGGATTATTATCTAACGCAAATGCTCACAGGCCATTACCTTTTCAGGTTTAGGAGGGCTCAGTCCAATCAGTGCCTTTACTGTGGTTTCTCGGATACTGTAACACACACGATGTTGGAGTGTAAGCGTTGGGCGGATGAAAGAGAGAAGTTTGTAAGAGAGTGTAACTGCAGAATGTTTGATTCCGTGAGAGAAATGGTGGAGAAGATGATGAGCGATGACGAAAGAACGAGAGAAGAGGGAACTCGCAACAGAATTCTACAACAAGCGAGTAGCACCTTGGTGGGGTTCGGACTGTCGCAGGCCGAAATAAGAGACAGACGACGCTAGAGAGATGACAGCCTCACTAAAGCAAGAGTTTGAAAGTCCTTGGTGGTTTCCTCGATGAATGTGTCAGAGAAAGAATGGGAATCAGGTGGTAGCAGGTCATCAGGAGAGATGTTTGCCTTAACCGGCCCTTCCATCCTGATATCAGGTGTGACAAAGAAGAGGGTTTTAGTTGGACGCCGGCCGTTTCGAAGTGGTGACGGTACGAGGTGTCAAAGGTCTAAATTCCCTGGGCATTTCGCTCTGGCACAGCTTCGCTAGGGTATTAGGAACCCAACACTACCTGTGTGAATCACAGGTGTCTGTGATTCACACAGGTAGTGTTGGAAGAAGGAAAATTTGCATTTTCCTTATTCTCTTTAAAGATGTAAAAAAATAGTCTGCTAGACGTAGAGAAAGGAAAATACATAGAAATAAACTTTCCTTATTACAAAACGTGTGCTAATAAAAATTTAAGTTTAGCTTTGGGTAATATTAACATACACTAAAACAAAGTTCAAATTTTATTTCTGACACTTGAAAAAAAACAGTGGTAAGTAAAAAGTTTTATAAAAAAGTGTTTTATCGAAAAGATTTAATATACAAACAGGTAGTTGTATTTAAGCATCCGTTTGGTAAGGTGTCATAAAAATGATGATGATCACCTGGTATTAATGGTTTCATTTCTTGTAAATAAACAAATTCCGTTCCACGGAGCCATAGTGAAGTCTTACGAGATCACTAACACTTAGATCACCTTTTTTATTTTCATGTCTAACACTGGTGTATCTTTCTACAACATTTTTGAAATCTGCATAATTAAGATAAACAACGTTGTAGGGTTCTGGGATCTCTCTAGCGGATTTTCTAATATTAACATCATCTGTCGGTACAAAAATATCTCGATGCCTGGGTAATTTTATTTCTATGCTGATATGAATTGAGTCCACTTCCATTTGCGTATGACCGACCGTGAATTGCCAGTTGTAACAGAGCATTAGATTAACAGACAAACCACCGTTACTCTCGTGCCCAATATAGCACATGGCTTCCTTTGTTTTTAAATTATATATAGTGTAATTGTGAACTTTCAATTTTGTTTTGTAATATGTAAATGACGCTTGTAACCTTGGTGATAACAAAAGCTTGAACGTCTACTGCAAAGACTAAGGTGTTATCGTCATCATCATCAGTTGGCGCTACAGCCCTTCGTGGGCCTTGGCCTGCTTCAAAACATTCTTCCATCCTTCCCTATCGAGTGTCTGCCTTCTCCAGCCCCTCACTCCAATCTCCCTCAAATCTTCCTGTACACCGTCCAGATATCTGAGTTTAGGTAGCCCCCTTCTTCTTCTTCCGACCGGCCTGTTTAGCATAGTTATTTTAGTGGGATCACTCTCTCTGTTCAGGCTCTATCTTTTTTATTAGTATGAATATCATAAACTTCTTCTGAAAGATTGCCATGTTTAAATGCACCATGATGAAGTAGAAATTGGCATTCATAATATGCAACGGTATCGGGAGGAAATCATATCTATAGGGATAACAGAAAATTAATAATAACTTATAATTGTATTTCCTGCTAATTTTTCACAATACTTTAAATAAAAAAAATCCTAGTTAAAATGACTGCGCGGCCATATCGTCCGCACATATGCCCAACAAAGCCAAATCGTCATCGGGTAAAGGTGGTGGTTGCAAAGGCATGGAGTGTGACAGTGGTGGCACCTGTTCCTGAGGCTGCGTGTACGCGAGGGTACGAACACGGAAGTGTTCGTATTGGTTGTTCCTATAATTGGCATAGTACTCGTTCATCATGTTTGAATTTGGCATTCCTGTTTCGTACAGATCCTGAAATTAAATTATATGAGATATGATCCTTTGCAAAAAGATTAATTAATATAAATATGAAGCGAATATCACGAATAATTAAAAAAAACTTGAATTCCCGATTGTGTTAAATTTGAAGTAAATTTTAATCACTTTATAAATTAAAATTTATTGTTAACAGATATTATTTATAACTGTAATACATAAATATTTAAGTTGCTTATCATTTAATAACCTTTTCTACTACTAATATTAAGAGAGAAGTAAAATTTGGCAAAACAAATATTTATTTTAACACATCAAGCCCCATGTGTACCACACTGGCACACACTCTAGTTATATCTGGCACCGTGTGTACCTATCAGACCACAGCGAAGTGTCGTGTTCCTAAAGCTGTGGCTCGTCGAGGATCGCATTTGGGTTCGAACGTCTAACGAGGCTAATACTATTTTCTCTTCAGTTTTTTGTTAAAAAGTGGAACTAAAAAAGAAGATAATGTTCCGTAAAGGACTATTGGAAGACGAACTTCGCAGAATTGCTGAGGGGAGTGACTTTAGTGATATCAGTATGCCTGGAAGTACGTTTTATGATTCTGATGCCGATCCAGTGTACAATGAAAATGTTACTGATAGTTCTTTAGACTCATACAGTAGTGAATATGAGTTTAGTAGAAAAAAGCTAAAATTTGCAAACAAACACAAAATTGCAAAGAATTTACTGCAGGTCGTAGTTCTGACCAAAAGAAGCCTGATATAAGGATAGGTAAGTTATTTAGAAATGCACAATTTCTGTTTGTAGTTTACTTTTCTTGCTTTGTAGAAAAATCTGAATCTGCAAAAGTTAGCCTGAAGCTGAAGCCTGAATCTTTCATTTGGCATTCTTTTATTCGTAAATTGGCTGTGGAATTACTAATAAATACCACAATTGAGGGGGTTGGAAGTAAAAGGGTTTAAGTACACTTTTTAAAACTATGGTCTAAGTACAGATTCGCATACTTATATGGTACTATAATTGGGTGGTAAAATGATTCAAACATATTACAAAAAAATTTTGTTAAAATCCTTTATAAAAGTTATATAAAAATGCCTCAAACAGGCTATCACAAACACATTGCAAAACGTTTTCGGATTAAACAATCCATCATCAGTGCAAACCTGAAAGTATATAACCACTTTAATTAAAAAGAACGTTAAATTAAAATGTTGACAAAGGTTAGAGCAAAATGTGGTTAATACTTACGGTTGTACATGCTAGTAGCCACCAAAATATATGGGTAAAAAACCCTTTAAATGTTATAAATTTGAAGTTGTTTTACATTATTAGTATTTCTAATTTGTGATGGTTAAGTTACCGTTGGATAGGTAACATGGCGGCGTATGACTCTACATGAGTAAAATGGCCCTGAGACGAAGTGTCTACGAGGACCTGTTGATAACAACTGATCAAAATGACATTGTTGACAAGTTAGGACGGATGTTGTGTCAGAGCAGTCAGTGTAATCATCATCACCCACTCAATCACATATCTTCACCTTTTCATACTGCGTTTTTCATTATCATTTATAACTTCTTTTCACTCATCCAATTTCCCTCAGGGTTTGGTTTTCGGGTCTCTATGGTTTTCAGTCTTTTGTAGTTTTCCCATTCATCTTCACAATAACATTTAAACATCACACATCTTTAGTAAACTTGACAGATCCACCTTAAACACAATTACTCTTACATTTCCACATATTGTCACAATACACTTCATAAGCCTGTTAACTTTTCACCTACCTACACTCTAACTTATAACTCATCCTTTTTACTTTTATATTTCTTAGGTACCAAATGTTCCTTTTAACATATAGGGCCTTTTGTTTTCTTGAGTTATAACTCGAGCAATGTAGGAACAATATCACACCTAACCATCTTTCAGCCATCAATTTTCTTTCAGTCTGGCATACTTGCCCACACACATAAACAACCTACCATCTTTACTTTACACACATAACCAGTAATTCATGTTCACTTACTTATAACTTAAAAATCTAATTTTATTTATCTTTACTAGGTACCAAATGTAGTTTTTTGACATAGAGGGCCTTCCATACTTAAGTTTTAAGTTGAGTACTACATGAACACCACATTATGATCACATTCTTGTCATATTTACATTTCAGCTCAATAACATATCTAAACACACCTCCACCCATTACATCAATACTCAATAATATATCTTTTAGGACCCATCTTCCCACATGTGCCTTTTTACCATTTTCTAGGTACCAAATGTCTCACAACATACAGGGCCTTTTGACAAAATCTCTAGCTTAAAATAAATATATCCTTACACATGTATAGTTGGTTGCCTATCAATCCTACAAAATTTCATAAATTCTAGTTGACCTACATTAATTTTTAAAAAACCAATTTTCAATGTTACAAATATACCTATCTGATTAATTTACAATACAGATTACAATATTGATGGTTGATACTGTTACATTATTATAATTTTAACTTTTTCAATTTTAAATAAGGCTGACATCTGTCAATTTTAGACAACTACCGTAAGTTACACTGACTGCTCTGACACAACATCCGTCCTAACTTGTCAACAATGTCATTTTGATCAGTTGTTATCAACAGGTCCTCGTAGACACTTCGTCTCAGGACCATTTTACTCATGTAGAGTCATACGCCGCCATGTTACCTATCCAACGGTAACTTAACCATCACAAATTAGAAATACTAATAATGTAAAACAACTTCAAATTTATAACATTTAAAGGGTTTTTACCCATATATTTTGGTGGCTACTAGCATGTACAACCGTAAGTATTAACCACATTTTAATTTAACGTTCTTTTTAATTAAAGTGGTTATATACTTTCAGGTTTGCACTGATGATGGATTGTTTAATCCGAAAACGTTTCGCAATGTGTTTGTGATAGCCTGTTTGAGGCATTTTTATATAACTTTTATAAAGGATTTTAACAAAATTTTTTGTGATATATGGTATACAGCCAGCTACAGGAACTTAGTTTCCTCGTGGAATTTCAAGCATATTACATTTTATTGAATGAAAACAATTGAACCGTTTTACCACCAAACTATTTTTAGTATTTTGTAACGAACAACATGAAGAACCTGTGAAAGAATCATATTATCGATTTATCTTCAACGCAGAGTTCAATTTGAAATTTCACAAGCCTTATAGTGATACATGTAGTCTCTGTAACAATTTTCAAAACTTGATAAAATATTCTGAACATGAGAAAACCATTTCAAACGCTAAACGGGATTTAGAATTACATCCGAGAAAAGCTAAGAAAGCAAACGATTCTAAAAACTAGATATTGAAAAACACAAAAATATTGAGAATACTGTCGTTATTTGTTTCGATTTGCAACAGACATTGCCAACACCACTAGCAACTACGTCCAAGGTATTTTACCTTCAACTATGGACGTACAATTTTTGTATATACAACTTACTTACTGGACAAAGTCAAATGTTTTTATGGAATGAAACAGTTGGAGCAAGAGGTTCCCAGGAAATAGGCTCATGCCTGATAAATGTTGGTAGGCTGGATTTTGTGGATTGACTGATAAGCTAGCTGCACATGACAAAAGAACAAGTCTCCTTAACCAGAGTGGCGGCTCGTTAGCTTCACAATACATGCTTTGAGCTGGGCTAGATCTGAAGGCACTTAAGCAGATCCTAAGAGCCGTATTGAGTACGAAGTCAAGAGCTATCAGATGTGACTTGGAGGCAGACATATAGACAAAACTACCATAGTCTATTTTGGAGCGAATAATGGATCTGTAAACTGTAATCAATATCTCTTTGTCAGCTCCCCATTGGAAATGTGCTAGACTTTTTAGGATATTAATATTTTGAAGCAGTTGCCTTTCGTTTCCTGTATGTGTGTATTCCAAGTAAGTCTGGAGTCGAAGGTCAGTCCTAAGACTTTATGATGATCAATAACATCTAGTAATACTCCGTTGTATGTCAAAGTTGGATTATCTTTTGTCGTTTTTCTGTTAAATTTCATGATTTTAGTTTTTTTAAGATGAGAAGGAAAGCCCAATATGCATCGACCCCCTTTCTATATTATCAAGGATTGTTTCGATATTCTTTCCTCTGCAAAAGAGTACAAGGTCATCAACATATAATGCGTATTTAACTGGGAGATGAATAGTTTTGCCTACATCATTAAATGCCAAACTGAACAAAGTTGTGCTTATAACAAAACCTTGTGGTACTCCATGATGTTGAATACGAGTAGATGACAGCTTTCCGTTTAAAATAACTTTCAAAGTTCTATCATCTAAAAAAATTTGCACAAAGTAGTATATGTTTCCACCAAGTCCACATTGAAAAGATCAGAAGGAATAAAAGAAAGAAGTAAAAGAAAAACCTTTAATCAGTGTGTTTTGCCAGTGTTGACTTACGGTGCGGATGACAAGGAGAACTGTTCAAAAAGATCCGTGTGTGTCAAAGGGCGATGGAGCGTGCTATGTTGGGCGTTTCACTGCGAGACAAGTTCCCAAATCGCCAGCTACGACAAAGAACAGGAGTGCTGATGCAGTAGAGAGAGTAGCACACTGAAATGGAACTGGGCAGATCACGTGGCTCGAATAACAGATAACAGATGGACAAAGCAGATACTGGAGTCATAGGAATTGGATGCAAGAGGCACAAGATCGGAATAGATGGAAAATTATGAGGGAGATCTATGTCCAGCAGTGGATAAGCGAAGATTGAATGATGATGATGAAGTCCACATTGTTGATAATTTTGGAGTATTAGAGATTTTTGAATAGTGTCGAAGACTCCGACATAAAAAAGTGTGCTAATAAATCTTGTTTAAAGGCCATAGAGTCGGAAAAACGTGATTCTAAAATTACCAAATAATCTGATGTAGAACGATGAGATCTAAAACCGGATTGTACCGGTTAAATAACTCTATTTGTTTCAAAAAACCATACCAATCTTTTGTTTACCATTTTCTCCAATTAATTTCAGCGATAATGGCCTATATGAATTAGATAAACTTTGTGTTTGGTTATGAACTTTTTTAATTGGTATAATATATGATTCTCGCCATCGGTTAGGAAAATTATAACTGTTCGAAATACCGTTGTAAAATTTTAATAAAATAATAATGCAAGGAGTCAGCACGGAGGAGCAATATGAAAGTAATGTCATCTGGACCAGATGCTGTGTTTTTACACAAATCGAGTGCCGTCAACAGTTCCTCTAAGGTAAATGGAATGTTAATAACATCGATTTCTTGTGCAGTTTTGAGAAGAACATTCCAGTTAATGTGCCTGGTGATATATTAGGTAAGTATTGTCTTCTGGGCACTTTTATAAATGAAGACAACGATAGCTCAGCAGAAATCAAAATAAGAATAGAAAAAGCCAGATCCATATTCCCTAAAATGAAGAGAGTGTTCTGCGGAAGAGATTTCAGCCTTGAAATGAAACTTCGCCTGATGATATGTTACGTACTTTCTGCGCTGTTCTAAGGAATAGAGTCATGGACGTTGAAAAAGATTGATACCAAAAAATTAGAAGCATTTGAACTGTGGATGTATCGCAGAATCCTGAGAATATCATGGACCGAGAGAGTCACAAATATCGAGGTCTTGAGAAGAATGAATAAAGAAAAGGAAGTCATATTTACGATAAAAAAAAAACGAAAACTGCAATACTTGGGACACATTACAAAAGGCGAAAGATATGAACTGCTTCGAATAATTATGCAATGAAAAATAGCAGGAAAAAGGTCCATAAGAAGAAGACGAAACTCCTGGCTAAAGAATCTACGGGAATGGTATAGCTGTAGCAACAACGAATTGTTTCGGTCAGTAGTTTCGAAAATACGTATAGCCCTGATGATCGCCAACCTTCGGAACGAAGATGGCACTTGAAGAAGAAGATTGTCTTCTGGATTTTTGTTCAAACGTATCAGCTAGTAAATTGGCAATTCGTTGTATATCAGTGATAACGACGTTTCGATAACTTAAACTTGTCTTACGGTTTTGCATTTGTTGTATTTTCGTCCATACATGGGCAGGAGTGTTGGATTTTAGTGACGAAGTATAGTCTCTTCATGAAATTTTCTTGTTTTCTTTTAGCACGTATTGTGCTCTGGCTTTTAGTTTTTTAAATTGCAAAAAATCTTCGTTATTTCGAGTTCTTCGATATCTGTAAATTTATCAAAAACAGGTGGTAGATACCTGTATCAACTACTGCCATGGGAAAATAGTTAATACTCTGGTCAGCAAGGTATTAAAGCTTATAGGTCGATATTAGGAACATTTATATTAACTTTATAAAATAACTAAGGTAAACAATAACTAAGTTAAGGTAAAAATAACTTACATATTCATTGAAAGTCTCTACGATTTTCGGTGGAGATGGCGCTTTTGGAACTTTCTTCTTTTTTGGTACCGCACTGATTTTCGGCGCTTTTGGAATAGCGACGTATTCATCGACGGTCGGCGGTGGAGGGGGAAGTGTCAAGGGAGGGATCGAAGATAATTTGGGAAAACAGACGACTTCGGGTTTGGGGATATAAGCTTTCGGAAGGTTTCCGGGTTCAAAACGGGTTTTCCGTTGCGGTTCGTAGGATTGCTTCTTAAGTTCTTTCGGTTCCTCTTTTTCTTCCTGCAAATAAAACAAGATGTATTCGTATCTGTCGAAAGAGTTGTTTGGGAAGTTCTGTGAACTTGCCTTACAATCGAGAATCATTTGTAAGACTGTTTTAGAGAGATTTATCACTTGGCAGGCAAGTATGAAACACCGAAGACACTTCTACTGTTTACTAAAATTCATTCGAATATCTACTTATCTTCCCTCTCAAATATGTTGGGGATATTACTAAAAAAGTTAAAATATTTAAAAGTTACTACAAGCATCGACTTTTTTCTACTTTCTTCGCTTATAATGTTAAAACAATTCATTTTGGAGCAAAGTCGTAATGAAAAAAAAAAAAAAGAAAAAAAAAACCAATAATTGAAATTTCTATAAGATACGACTGGTTAAAAATGTTTTAATTTATTACCCTTACTGCAAAATACCAATAAATACAAAACAAGGAAAAACAAGCTTTTTCATAATTCGCCTAGAAAATTTTTATATATAAGAAAACCTAATTTCATTAAAATCGATTCAATAGATTTCGCATAATAATTTTGCAATCTATTTTTTTCAATTGAAATTCCTTAAAATCTTGCAAAACAAAAGCTAGACCATGTAAGTAGTCATCGCCCATTGTCAGGGGCGTGCGGTGTATAGAGGAAGGGAAGCATTGCTTCCCTAGATTTCCATAGTAATAGCGTAATAGCTAAGTAACTGAGAATATTCAACAAAAAATAACTTAAACCAACACACATCGAAGCAGCCTTTTAACCTGCATACGAGAATTATGTAGAACGAGCATCGAGCTCGTTCTGACTTAGCTTTCTACTCGTAATTCTACGTTGGTCTTCTTCTTCTTCACGTGCTCTATCAGAATTATCCGACGTGAGCGATCACCATTGCGAAGGCTTCTAAGCAACTGTGGCAATTGATTACGAAGTTTTAGCGAATTTAAATTTGGAGATTTACTACATCGTTTGACAATGTCTTCGTCGACTGATTTTGTGGAATCAGCTCTAGTGTATAAATGTGTAGTATGCTTGTTATTAGAGGAACGCTTTAGTTCGTTGAATTTAGGTGAAAAATCAAACAATTAATACAGGTACTACATTATTTTTATATAGCACGAATAGGAAAAACGATAACATTACAGCTTTCCTTCGATAAATAGTTTTAATATTTTGTTACTGTTTAACTTGTTTAACTGTTCTTATATTATATTTTGTTTTATTTTTAATATTAAAACAATCTGTTCACGCCTCTATCTAATTTAAGTTTTTTATGCATTTTACAATCCGGCAACATAGTGGTAGGAAGATATATTATGCCATATGTGAAGATAAGGCGAGCCCCTAAAAGCACTCCAAGGGCGACAGCATCATTCAAATATGAGAAGTCGAGGCCGGTGCACACCAGCGAGCGAAACAATACGTATTAGCGTTTTATTTATGTATTGTTAATTCAATAAAGTCAGTTTTCTCACACGGAGTTTGATTATTTACCAGCGGCACACGCGAAGTGCATATCAAGTTTCATCCACAATCTAACCTAAAATAATAATAAAAATTACTATTAGTATTAATAAAAATAATAAAATAATTGATAAAAGAAGCTGAGGTATTCCTGTTTTCTCAATTAAAGATATGTAGAAGCCTGAAATGAAAAATCTCACTACTAAAATAAAAACTTGCATCAGACATTTTAATTCGGAAAAATATTACGAACAATGCGAGTGGCTAACTGGTTGTGGATTTATTACTAAACTCTACTGTTAGTGTTGTTTGCTCTCTGTGAATAAAAATGGTGTTTGGAATCATAGTGGTTTTGGCGATTTAAGGATTCCCCAAACCGACGCGAAACTTTCGCAGCGGAATCGCGGCGAATTGTAAGGCACGGCGACTTAATGCATGTGTTCAGACAAGTTCGGACGGAAACCGGAACGGTCGCGGCAGAACAGCGTTGACGTTTCATGAAACGCTGCATGCACGGTTTTTTCCGCTGCAGTTATAGCAAGTTATAGTTTCGCGTGAATTATTAAAATGGCTGTTACAGAAAAACTAATTGAAATTGTGAAACAATATCTTATAATTTATGATTTAAGTGACGAAGATTATAAAAATATAAGAAAAAAGGATAAAGTCTGGGATAATATAGGGTCATTTCTAGGAGAAAATGGTAAGTTTTCATTATATATTATATATAATGAATTTAATAGTGCTCCGCCTGCGAATGTTCCGCAACGGTTTCGCGTCGCAAAAGTTTCGCGTCGGTGTGGGGAATCCTTAAAACAATTTTCGTAAGGTAGTGAAACGTCATGTCTAAAGCTCACTTGCAGGCCGTCATCAAAGAAAAAGTTTTTGGAAAAACTAGAATCGCACACACTTGGGAGAATTCATTAAAAGTGAGTCATAGAAAACATAATGAATTAGTTGATAAAAATATAGACGTGCTGAAAAGACACGACGAAACCAGTACATCAGTAAATAGGGGCAATTACATGAATATTGTTTCACTAATTTCTAAGTACGATCATTGTTTAACAACTCATTTAGAACAGTCCAGTGTGTTTCAAGGCACCTAAAATCGAATCGAATTCAGAATTATTCGATATTCTACTATTTCGACAGTAGTTTCAAAATAACTGATGAAAGTAAACAAACACGCTTCATTGCAATTATTTTAGATGAAACAACCGATGTTACCAATTTTAGCCAGCTCTCTGTACGATTTGTTAATACAGAAGGAATTACACAGAAAAGATTTTTAGGTTTTATAAATGTGTCAGAAAATAGAACGGCAGACGCATTATATAAACTTTTTTGTGAACTTTTAAAATCAATTAATGGTAATGACAAGTTAGTTTTCCAAAGTTATGACGGCGCTGCGATTATGGCTGGGCATTTGGAGCTCTAAAATTGAAAGTGCGAGAAACATGTCCTAGTGCGATATTTATACACTGTTTTGCTCACAAACTAAACTTGGTTTTATCCCAATCGGTCATGCAGATCACAGAATGCAAAGTTTTTTTGCAACTTTAAGTGCAATTGCTGTTTTGGTCACAAAAAGTCACTCTTGGTCCGGTGCCTGACGATAATCGAGGTTCTACTGTACATAAATTATGTTTTAATGCAAATAGTAGTGGTATAAATAAATTAAAATTAGTGCAAATAAAGACTAAATAAACAACGTGTAGAACATTTAACTATAAATTAAAACGACAATAAAAACGTTACATATAAATGGAGAAAAACGATAAAACTTACAATAACCTGTTTGGATTTGTTCTTGAACAGAGGCATGCGTCCTATAAAGGGCAACTTTTTGTAACTCGGCGGTCCAGGAGGTTTTCTTTTATCGCCTTCCTCGTTCTTACCTTCTTCGATTTCTCGGTCCCTGCTCACACTTCGACTTTCGTGCGACCTCCTCTCCTTCTTTTCGTAACTGCAAAAAAAAACGTTTAAAGAAACTCAAAATAAGACATGCTTAACAGTATCATACTTCTCTGAAACGTCTTCTTCAGTAGGCGATCGAGATTTTCTCTTCCGGTAATTGTTTGCTTTAAACCTAAGCTGAATATCTTTCATCTTTTGGATTTCTTCCTGTTCTCTTTGTTTTTTCAGTATCTCGGCTTCGACTATAACACGTCTGTCGTCACGTTTTTTCCGTTCTAAACGCTCGAGCTCCTCTTGCTCTTTCTGCAGTCGAAGTTTCTCTAGTTCCGCAATTCGCATTTGCTCTTGTTCTTTCTTTTCTCGCATTCGATCTTTCAAAGACATTAATAAAAGTTTTTCCTGAAAGTAATTATTATTATTATTATCATTAAATTACCTATAGTCTAGTGAACGATTGAGTTATGTGAGATTTTACTACTGATTTGGATGTATTTTGACACAAATTTTTGCGCAGCAATTTGTTTTAACAATTTAATTGTTTAAATGATTATAAATAATAAGCTAACAAAGATGTACTCCATTTTCAAATCATGTTTTGTTTCTTAAAAAAAAAACAAACCAAACAAACTTTGAAAAATTAAAATCGGTCCATTAAAAGCCGAGATATTGCAATTTTGTTATTAAAAAATAACAAATCATCGACTATATCAGAGATTTTTGCTTATAACTGTTTTTGTTCAACGTAAAAAGATTGAAAGCATCTCATTTTAAAAAATTAACTTTTATCAATTTTTGAGAAAGTTATACAGATTGAACGAAATAAATTCGGAACATACGAAATATATGTATTTCGGCTCAACTTCGCTCTAGGTGGTTGGCCAACAAAAGGTTGTCAAATAATTATATTATAAAAATCCAATACCAGCGGGCTGCTGGATTCTGAACTCATTCAAGAACAAGTCAAAGCTCCACCCAAATAGGTTGCCTCGCCCATCACGTATAAAAATTGAAAGCTACACATAAATCTAGGATTTTATTATGCTGTCAAACCACCTATCGCTTCCTTAGGCAAACCCCTCTTTCGTTTATCTAAGCAATCAGATAAATATTTTGAACGGTGTTGCCAATCTCATTCCTCTAGATGTTTCTCAAATAAGGTGTTAACCATAAAATATTTACAGGAAAGAAAGGAAATAACTACAAACCATTAAGGATATTTTTATTATTAGTCTGTTGCTCAATAACAAGTATCCAACTGCTACTGTCACTTGAAAATAAATTCGGACTCCAACAAACTGAACACGTATTGATCAGGGGCCGGCTTTACCGAGAGTGATGTAATTATCTTCAAAATTCGTTCACATAACTTGAAATAAACAAAACACAACGGAAATTAAGACGTAAATTATTAATTTGAAAACGCAGTACATCGGGCGGCTTAAATCAAAGAATTATCGACAGGAAAATACGCAGTTGCGAAATAAATAAACAACTCTAAAATGGATTTTATTAACTCGAGCCTCCTAAGAAATAATTAACGGGTATTTGAACTTGAAAGATACGCACTAAGAAACAGAATAAATTCTTCCTTTTATCAAACATATATGAGGGGATTTCAATATACACCAAAAAAATCAATGAAATTGTAAATGCTACAAAACGATAGTTATAAAATACCTATATACGGACGTAACTACGCCATTCGCCTTCATGCGAAATTCTGCTTGCAACATTTTGTGGTCGGAACCACAGTCTGCAGCTGGTTTTGTCTTCAAGTTGATTATTGAACTTCTGCATCGTTTAGTGACAATAATACAATCTATTTGATTCTTGTGTCGTCCTTCAGGCGAAGACATGTTGAGCCGTTCACCTCGTTCATTTCAAGGTGAACGGCTCCTTCAATTTGCTATCGATATGGATCTCACTATCATTGTACTATAGTCCTTATTAATATTATACTAAATTTTTTGATCTCATACACCGAAAAATAGTTATAAACAAATTCGATTGCATTTTACACCTAAATTGTATACTTTAAATATATAGAACTTCGTCAAAAATTGATCAAAGTTAATTGTTCAAAATTCATTTTAAAGCTTATAATTATAGGTTTAAAATGAGATGCTTTCAATCTTTTTACGTTGAGCAAAAACAAAGTTATAAGCAAAAATGTCTGATATAGTCGATAGTTTGTTATTTTTTAATAATAAATTTGCAATATCTCGGCTTCTAATGGAAAATGGTCAAAATATATAAAAATCATGTGAAAAATCTCATGGATCTCAATCGGCCATGAAAACCACTTGGTTCCTATATCAACACCACACAAACCTTAGCTGGAGGTTCAGATACTGCCATCCACTGATTGATTAGGTGATCCTCTGAAGAATCCGGAACCTTGTCCTTTTCCTCCTTTTCCATTAAATCCTTCTTTTTGTGCTCTTCGACTATCCTCTCCAGCGCACTCCATTTCTCCGAAAGGTTATTCATGTTTCGCATGGCGACTCTGATACTCTTGGAACGATCGTTATCCGAACTATCTGAACTCGAAGAGCTGGAACTAGAATCAGAAGATTTCGCCGATTTTTTCTTCTTTTTCGACTTCTTTTTCTTCTTTTTTTCTTTGGCTGATGAACTTTCGCTAGTTTTCTTTTTGTATTTCCGGCCTGAAGAATCGTCGTCGGAATCGGAAGAGGAAGAAGCTTCATCTCTTTTTCTGGTCATGGACTTTTCCCGATCTTTCAGCCATTCCATTTCCCAATGTGGATTTTGAGTCGTGAATATCTATAAACACAATAAAAGTTGGAGCCAATGAGAACTAACATTATTATATTAACTGACATCATATATGTGAATTAGATTACTAAGAAGTAAACTGGGGAAGATGTCATGCAAAGTAGAACCAATATTGTTCTGAAGCTTTTTTTTTGTGGCATTGTAAATGAATTACTATTAAACTGGGAATAAGCCACAATTAAAGATAAAAATACGTTTATTGACGTTTCAATTTCCACTTCGGAAATCGTTCTCAAAATACAAACAGTGAATTAAACAAATTTTATTTTTTGTTACATAGTGAAAAATTCTTCTAATAATTTAATTTTATTTAACTCATTTATATTGACAATTCAGACATACATTATGCATTTTAAAGGAGACGACTTTAAAATGATATTGCCAATATTGTTGAGTTGCGCTCCTGGGACGACTTTACTTATAAGATAGTTCATTCGATTACATGAAATCAACTTTAACTTGAGAATATCCGACAGAAAAAAAATCATAGCATGTAATTCGTCTTTAAAAAGACAAACACATGACATGATGACAGTAAAATTCTCCTGTTAGTGATTCCATAGTAAATTATGAGGGAAAACCAGGAAAAAAACCTCATAATACTATCCCGACATTGTAAGTATTTGTTCGTGAATTTAGTTTACCTTCAACAAACATCAAAATTCTGATTTTATATGTTACGTTATTTAAAAAACATAAATGATGTATCCTCTATATGTTACTGACTTACTAATACTGGTATTTTCTTATTAATAACTTCCTCTTTCAATATTGGTAACCAGATCCTACTACATTCTGCCGTAAAATTTGCGACACAATTGGCCTCATTTAGCATAATTAGAGCCGCTTCTTTGATTTTTCTTTTTTTACCATCCGTTTCTTTTAGGACTACATTTGAATTATTCATTATCCCATGTTCATTATCCCATGCGTGTTCATAGGGTCCAATGGAATAATTCAAATGTAGTCCTAAAAGAAACGGATGGTAAAAAAAGAAAAATCAAAGAAGCGGCTCTAATTATGCTAAATGAGGCCAATTGTGTCACAAATTCCTCGGCAGAATGTAGTAAGATCTGGTTACCAATATTGAAAGAGGAAGTTATTAATAAGAAAATACCAATATTAGTAAGTCAGTAACATATAGAGGATGTCTCATTTATGTTTTTTAAATAACGTAACATATAAAATCAGAATTTTGATGTTTGTTGAAGGTAAACTAAATTCACGAACAAATACTTACAATGTCGGGATAGTATTATGAGGTTTTTTTCCTGGTTTTCCCTCATAATTTACTATGGAATCACTAACAGGAGAATTTTACTGTCATCATGTCATGTGTTTGTCTTTTTAAAGACGAATTACATGCTATGATTTTTTTTCTGACAGATATTCTCAAGTTAAAATTGATTTCATGTAATCGAATGAACTATCTTATAAGTAAAGTCGTCCCAGGTGCGCAACTCAACAATATTGGCAATATCATTTTAAAGTCGTCTACTTTAAAATGCATAATGTATGTCTGAATTGTCAATATAAATGAGTCAGATAAAATTAAATTATTAGAAGAATTTTTCACTATGTAACAAAAAACAAAATTTGTTTAATTTACTGTTTGTATTTTGAGAACGATTTCCGAAGTGGAAATTGAAACGTCAATAAACGTATTTTTATCTTTAATTGTGGCTTATTCCCAGTGTAATAGTAATTAAGTAGAACCAACTTAGGTATACAAGTGGCCTCCAAATTAGGATGAAGGTGGTCTCTAATCAAGGATAAAAGTGGTCTCCAATTATGTGAGAAAATACAAGTTAAAACATACGAAAAATAAACAATAGGTACCAAAAAGAATCTTACCCTAAAAGCGATCTGAAAAAAATTTGAAAAGGTGTGATTTTTTTTTACTTGTGTTGCCCCCTTCTAATAACACTATTCCGATAAAAACGAGGCAAACAATTTTTTGTGGAAGAACAAAACCCTATAAACATCGCTAATATTGCACACCTTCAATCATTTCGTAAAAAACGAGTACCAAAGTAATAATTATTGAAAAATTTAAACGCTTACCTCAAAGTTTTGATGATGAATTTTCGATTTTAAATGATGGGAAGCGCAATGCAAATCACCGATCCAAACGTCGCATAATCGGCAGTACCACGATGGGGCTGATACGAAGAATTGCAGACCTGTAAAAATTATATAAGTATATTGCTTTCTTCAACTTTCTTACCATTATTTTGGGCGTTTCTAAATGTTCCGAGCATCGAAGGAATATTCGCTCCTTTGCCACTGCCGTTATCAATTGATTAGCTTAAAATTTAACACCTTTTATATTGATATTCGATTTATTAAATGATCTTTAACCTTTATCTTCTTACCCAACTTTTTGCCGTTGAACATTATCCAACGATTTCAGTCTAACGTGCTAAGATTTATAGTAAATATACAGTTCGTCAAAGTTAGCTCTGTCTTTCAGTTTTAACTCTAGCGATGCGAAAAATAAACAGAGACCACATTCGGAGTAAAGAAGATAGCAAATGCGTTGGGATTTTAAAATTATTTTATTCTGGACATGGACGTATAAACACAGATGGACTCAGCATCTTCAACTGTTGTCACGTTTTGTTTTAAAATTTCTTATTCGCGAGTCGCTGAAAATATTACTCCGTATTGTATACTCTACAGGTGCTATCAAACCAAAATAATAATTTATTGGTTAGATTAATATATTTAATTGTAATCAAAATATAAAGTGTGCACATAGTGTACATTATCATTTAATAATAACGTATAATTTAGATATCAATCAATTATTTTATATGTAGAAGCACTGAAAACTATTTATAAATGGCAACGGTTGTTTACATTTCTCTGTCTTATGGATCTACGTCAAACTTCAAATGCTGTTCCATGTTTGTTTACTTTTTAGTAAAAGTTGTTTTTCGATATTTTGGATGTATTTTGAGTGATATTTGTGAAAAGTGAAATAAAATAAACGAAATATTTACATCCCGATCTCTCATTTCATTTGTAAGTAAATAAAATTTACATTATTTAAGATGAGGAAATGAGGAAGCGTGTTTGTTTACATTTTAATAGGCGTACCATTGGGTTTATTCATGTTCATTTATGTATTAAATAAGATATAAGTTCATGAAATTAGTAGACATTTTTAAATTGTAAGTAGACATCATCTGATTAAAAAAGATCTATTTAGTACCTTTTTAATTTAATATTTCTCATGGATGCAAATAAATTAGTGAAATGAATAAAACTCATTTATTTTTCTATGTAGGTTTCAAATAATATTGACGATCGAACTATTTTGGTAGCAAATTTAGGAGAAAACAAAAAAGATTTTTTATTGTAGCATTATTTTGATACCTATTAAAAATTAACTTGAATTCAACTATATTTTATTGTATTAATTTTTAAGCAAATAAAATTGTATTTTAATTTTTCTATAAAGACGTGATTTGTTAATAGTTAAACTCTCGTTTTTTTAAATTCTTTGAACGTGTTTTTATACATTATTACTACTTCCAATTTTTAAAATCTGAATAGTTAACCGCGAGTAAAAATTCAAGCACGCTTATGCTCATTGCGGAAGCATCACATTCTATCGAAGCTTCAAAACATTGTGTGTTAAAGGTATCTTATTGCTGTGTCCATCTATGTTTATACGTCCATGATTCTGGAACTATGACTAGGAGAGGGTCAATTGAACTAAATAGGTATTGAAATTTAAATAATTAGGAGTAATTATTCTACGTAATAATATGTGAGGAAAATGATTGATTTTTATTGTTTTTAAAGATGAAACATGTAAAAAAATTGATATTTAGAAATCAAATTATTAATAAAATCATTCCAAATTTTGTTTGCTTCTACAATAGAATAGATGTAGATTTATTTTATTTCATTAAGTTACACATATAAAATACACGTTTGTAGCAAGTCAAAATATAATTTTAGTAGTAGTATAAAACATAAATATACATATATAGACATAATTTAACATGTTTGAAAACTAAAGGCAATAAAAAAGTTCACATACAGAGAGTGCACAAAATTGCAAAGAAATACATAGCTGAGTAATTCTAAGTATAACATTTTTCATATAAAAATGTTTGCACGTCATTCAAGATTTACGACGTAAGAACCCCACAGCGTTGCCAAACCATCAATAGTATAAGTGCAAATTTTAAAAGTGAACATTGTCAAACTATTATAACAGTAATACACTTAGTTTTAAGACTACGCAACACACTAAATACATAAGAAAACATTTTAATACAAAATTATATACTTATTTTAAATTTTAAACTTACCCCTCTTACGGCTTCAATAGTAAAAACGTCCCGCCATTATTTCTTGTTCAAAATAATCTATCTTATATGAAAGCTTATCAGCTTTCTACAGACTATTTATTTGTTTTGGCATAGCACAATCACAATACACAACAATAATTAGTTTTTACAGCTATTAATCTAAATTTAATATGTATTTATAAATACAATAAATTAATATATATTATATTATGATCAAATTGTGTAAGAAATCAAAACATAAACAAAATTCTTACTCTAAAAAAGCGGCAACACTTTATACACTCTTGCCACATGCTGAACTGTCAATAAAATTTGAAGTATTCCCGTATCACTTGCGTACAATGATCTAATCTATTTAATTAAAATTATTATTTTGTGAACTATTAGACTTGAAGAGTTATTTCATAAAATTTATATTATTAATAATAACAAATGTTTTTGGTAATTAAATCAATTTAATTCTAAAATTTCTGATTACATACAAAAAATGAGTACAGTTTTCTAATTATTACACCATGTTGACGCCTATGAAAGATCGAACAGTTCCGTGTGGGTTTCGTATTATTAGCTGTGTTAGGAAAATTTGAACTCTAAGGTTGATGTTCTTGTTGAAACAAGAGAAAGTAAACTGGCTGTTAGAAAAGTGACCAGTCGTTAAAGATTGATACATAAATGGTCATTTAATAAATTTCTGTCTAAATTGACAAAGTAGCTTTGAAGTGAACAAGAATTAAATAGAATAGATAATTTGGGAATTCCAGGGAAGTCTAGGTATGTCCTTAACAAAACAAGAGAAAATAAACTGGCTATTAGAAAAGTGACAGTCGTTAAAAATTGCATTGTAAATTGAAAAAGTATAAAAAATAGTTTTGAAGTGAACAAGAAATAAATAAATGTCGCATCGGAAAGGTAAAGAGTGCATTCTTGACTATGAGTTCTGTGTTCAAGAGCCATGACCTCACCCTAGAAACAAAAATAAGGCTCCTTAAATGTTATGTGTACTCAGTGCTTGAAGTACTGTCCTTTACAGATTTACGCAAACCATCGTGAGTATCATCATTCCAACTTTTATTGAATGTGTGACAAGAGTGGATGTATATTTTGTCCATGTATACTATAGGACGATTTTCGTTTCTGTACCTCTTGATACTTCGCAAAAAAGCTATCCTTTTTTGTTGGATGTCAGGTTTTTCCATAAGCAATTTTTTCTTATCTGAGTTTTCAGCCAACGGAAACCAATTTTATGTAACACTTTTCGTAAACTTTCATACCTGTGTAACTAATTTCATTGACAAATTTCCTATGCATGTCACTCAACGTAGAAACTTTTTTTTCGCGAACATGAAAATGTATTACAAATCCCCGAAGAATTTCCTTATCACATTTATAAATATAATCACATTTGCTATAATTTCACGAGATTGATCACTCAAAACTTTACGATGAACTTTTGATTTAAATTTCATTGTAACGGTACTGGATTAATAAGTCCTACACCAGTGTAATTGATATGCGTCTGATTTCTTTGCTTCTGCTAACAAAATGGAACTGAGTATATTCGGGCCACTGACGGATCCTCCCCTCCAAATTTATATTCTTGTCAAAACTCAGAGGCATTGCAAGTCTTGACGAGCTGTACTCCTTACAAACTGATATTTTTTCATGACATAATGAGGTTTCAGTTCCAAATGTGGGAATGTGTGATTCCATGCCTTTGGGAATGGAATGACACATTCTCATTAACTCGGCTCATAGGGCACAGAGCCACCTTCTCTGTCGCTTCTATGAGTAATTCCTGTCTGGCGCGTCCATGTCGCGGGGGTGGGCATCTCTTGCTTCAGTAGGCCGGAGCTAGTAGATGGCTAAGTTCACCCAGTTCCGTGGGGCATAACACGGCCCCCTTGCCAGGGATACGGATGAAGACCACAACGAAGATGAAGGTGGAGAATATAGTATTCGGTTCAGTGAACACAACTGAAGTGGCAACCCTGTTTCTAGGGATAGTATAGAATCAACCTGGTGAAGGGCAGCAGCGATCTCAAGTACTAGATTTAGGCGTAAAGGAAATGATTCTAAACCGGCTTCTTACTAGATTACCGTAGGTGAGACTGAAACAGTTAGAGGGCTACGGTACTGCGATGCGGAAGGCAAGTAGGAAACTACCTTATATTACTCAGGACATCCGTCCGTAGATTTTTTCTTGACATGTTAGAAGAACCAAAACAAACGGCCCCTAGTCCCTGGCAGGCCTTAAATGGCCAAGGGGTGCGAAGAATCTCCCGGTTTCAACTTAATAAGATAACCAAAATCTAATTCAGGAAATGAACAGAATTAACATCGATATTCTCGGCATAAGCGAATTACGATGGGAAGGCACAGGTATGATCAATACTACTGATAAAACCCTTTACTACTCATGCAGTGATAGCACAGACCCTCACCACAGTCATGGGGTGGGAGTTCTGATAAGTGAAAATTTGCGCGTCTCCGTGAAGAACTTTGTTCCGATCTCCGAAAGAGTCATACTTATTCAGTTGCATGGAAAAGTTAACATAAATATTATACAGACAAGCCAATATGGAAGAAATCGACAATGAAATAAAGAGCAGAGTTGAACAAGCCCGAAATGTTTTTTTGAGGCTTCGTAAGTTTCTGACTGATCGCAAATTGGACTTGAACCTCCGATACAAGATGCATAAATGTTACGTGTGGCCTGCTCTCTCGTACGGAATGGAAGCATGGACGTTAAAGGCCAGTTCCATTAACAAACTTGAAGTGTTTGAAATGTGGTGCCTGCGTCGAATGCTTAAAATATCATGGACGGACAGGGTCAGAAATGAGGAAGTATTCAGAAGAGCGGGCTTACAGGATAGGGAACTTTTTACTTATGTAAAAAGTAAGAAGTCTGCATACTTGGGACACATATTACGAGGAGAAAGATACACTTTTCAGGAACTGATACTCAAAGGGAAGATAGAGGGTAGGAGAGGTCTGGGACGTAAAAAAATTGCTGCGCAATATTCGACAATGAACAGCAGTAAATCCACAGCTATGAAATGCTTCGCAATACTGCTAAAAACAGAATTATTTCATCCTGACTATTTAACATCTCACCTGACAAGACGATGTACGGTGGACGTCTACGCAGAAATGCACGGCACCTTAAGAAGAAGAAGTCCAACTGTCTTTAAATTATCAACAACTTTACGTTTTTTTTCTGAATATGTTGTTCGTGATCTCAAATAATGTTTAATAAATGACATCATAATTAAACACATAAATACATTTTTAGTTGGAGACATAAATTGCAGTGGGTGATCAAATTATTATGATCAGTCACAAAAATTTAAGTTTTTCATATTTGTTCAGAAATTTTATAATAAAATTATATGCTGATATACGATTAAAGTATGCCAATATATTTTGTCACTGATAACCTTACTTTTTTGACGTTTACCGCTCTATAACTGTCATTTGTGTCAAATTACGTGACAACATACACTTTGTGGTGAATTTACGCTTGGAGTTTACAACTGAATTTGTATGTTTTCGTATTGTTTTTGAAAGATTATTATCGTTTTATCTTTGTAGTATGTTTTATTAATTTATTAGTAGTGATTGTGAGTGAAAAAAGAATATCAGTTTTAATTTTAAAGACATTTTCAAAACATTTCGATTTTTGAGAAGAAAATCATAATGGGTAAGGCTAAAGACGTCCCTGTGTCTAAAATGGTGGAAATAAAGACACTTTTATTGAATACAAAGCTTTCCCAACGTCAGATAGCTCAACAATGCCAAGTAGCGCAAGCAACAGTGAGCAATATCAAGAAAAAAATTGAAACCAACAAACCCCTGATTCACCAGCGTGCCCAAAAATGTGGTCGAAAGCGTGTCACTACATCCAGAGACGAAAGAAAAATGAGGGATATATTCGTAAACAATAGAAAGAAGCCAAGAAGAATCCTCACGGGACTTATTCGTGAAGCTGGTATGCCAGTTTCTGACATGACGGTCCGCAGAAGGCTTACTGAGCAAGGTTTCAAATCATGTCGCCCTGCCAAAAAACCAAAGTTGACCATCGTAATGATGAAAAAGAGACTGGAATGAGCCAAAAAACACCAAAATTGGACAATTGAGGATTGGAATAAGGTAAATTACGTCACTACTAAAGTTTAAATCACTATAACCACTGTTTTTATCCTAAAAAAATATCTTATAGTTTTTTTTATTCACAGGTTTGTTTCTCCGATGAGTCTACAGTGGAGATACTCATGGATAAGTCGGCCTTCGTCCAAAGGCGAGTGGGTGGAAAATATCATAAGGATTGCATAGTGGAGCGAGAAAAGCATCCTCTCAAGATTATGGTATGGTCTGTGATCAGCAGTAAGGGCACAGGGAGGCTGTACATTGTAAATGGAATGATGAATCAACATCAGTATATTGAAGTTCTGGAAAAAAAACTCATGCCACAAATCAAAGACTGGTTTGGCGAATCGGAGGATTTTACCTTTATGCACGATTCAGCACCGTGCCATAAGGTAAAAAGAGTAACATCGTACCTGGAAAAAAAGAAAATTAAAGTACTGAAGTGGCCAGGTAATTCCCCAGACCTCAATGCGATCGAAAATCTATGGGAGCTTATGAAGAGGGGGGTTGCCCAGAAAATTGTCACAAATAAGCAGCAGTTAATTGAGAGACTCATTGCCACCTGGCACAGAAACGATAAAATAAAAGAAAACTGCCTGAGAAACATTCAAAGCATGCCAAGGAGGATCAAAGCTGTCATCGAAGCTAAAGGAGGTCACACAAAATATTAAAAAAAAAATGTTATTTAAGGTCAAAGAAAAAAATATTTTAAAATTTTGTAAAAGAACGTGTTTATGATCTATTTTTATATTATATTCACATTATTAGACACTCATATGTAGTTTTATTCTTTATTAAACAGTAAAATATAAAGTTTTTTGAAGTAATCATAATAATTTGATCACCCACTGTACTTACCCTATTTCACTACTTTTACTGTAAGAGACTTCAAGCTTCGCTGGAAGACTGAGTGCGTGATGACGTGTCGTAGAGAGCGAGGAGCATCTATGTATATAGATTTCTATATTCAATTCGCGCCGGATGAAGGACATATGCGGGCCACTTTGTGGCATAGGGGCTGTATGTTGGATGGGTTTGCTCTAGCCCAAATACTTGAAAGAGCAAGACTGAGTGACGTACAACCTTGACCATCGAGCTCAGAGTATGGGAAGTATCCAAAAGATACAGAATCTAGTCATTCAATTGACACACTTTGTTGCGTCTATTTATTATCAAACAAAGGTCTTATAAATGAGTTAAATGTATAAGAACAATCATATTCAAAAAGAAAACAACATTACTTTCCGCTGAATTCCTGTTAAACGTGTATTTTTGCGATACCTTATTCACAGCTTTTACCTGTTCTTCAATATATGCCATAAAAGAAGAAATATTACAAAAATTATATATAAGTATTATTGAAGGTGATAGTAGGTATATTTTTATTTAAAAAAATGATACACCAAGATATATTTATAGCTAGAACTTACGGTAGATATACTGATTAACATCATATAAAAACTAAAATATAAAATACCTTTGATGGGAATACGTTTCTTGGGCGCATTTTCGTCAGACGGCAGCAACGGTTCGGGCGGCAGCTTATGCCAAGGCGTACTATCCACCTTATCGTGCTTCTTCATCTGTTGGTGTTTCTTATCTTGCAGATGCAGCAAGAAGTCTTTGGCCGTTTGTGGAAATTCGTCACAAGTGCGACACCAATGCAAACCGGTGTCGTAGTGCGTGTAACAAACGTTCTCGTCTGAATATTTGTCGTGTAACAATGTTTCCGATGTCTGAACTGTAGAAGTACTTTCTGGATAATCTGAATATTTACTCGAAGATAACATTGATTGAGTTACGGATTTGTCGGGGTTGAATATCTCAGATTCGAGATCGTTCAGAGATTTGCCGTCTTTTATAATACCAGACAACATCTGAATAACGTTTTGTATGGCTTTGAGTTTACCTTGAACTTCGTCCTGGAATAAAGAAAGTGACTTAAAAATGACGGCTCATGACGAGTATAATATACAATATAGACCAATACATACTATTATACAGTTCCTCGGCAATTAATAAATAGGGAGGCAAATTTTATCGTTTATAGGCATCCTTTCTATCAGCAACTGAAATACAACGCTGTACTCAATTCCAATGTAATCATTTATACTTACGTATAAACACAAATATTGAATTCGTGTTAGATTTTCCATTAATCAACATCTCTGGGTCAGCAAGTTTGAAGATTTAGAAGAGTTCACATTTATGAACAACAAACTGAAGAAAAAATGTTGATCTAGGTCTAACAGACTCTAGAATGATTTTCACGATTCTTCTGATCCGATTCCGCTGATCCTATTCTTTTCATATGTCGAAAAAACGTTACATTCCTTTGGGTGTATGATGTCCTGATATTTCGCCTCCACTGAGTTGTTTGCGTGGAACATTTGGAAGGGCCACAGCAAAAAAAGGCCGATTATATACGCTCAGATGCAAAAAAAGCAACGGAGAAAGTTTTGGTCAAATTCAATTGGTGGAAAGTATTTAAATTTTTTATTTTAGCCCTATTTTGATGATTTTTTAGTACAGTGTGTAAAAATTTATAAATTTTAATTTAGTATAGTCAGTTTTTTGATAAAATTTTATATTTGACTTATTGTTGTGGCGTGCATGCTTAATAAGCATTTGGCACACAAATTAAATTCAAGGTCAGAATCGCTCATTGTCGGAGAAAGTTAGGAGGTTCTTTCAAACATATAGAAACTGTATCATATCTTAAATCCAAGCACAATTAGATAATATGAAATTATAATTTATTATTGGACGCCACCCCTGGTTTAACCTCGAAGGGGACGAGAAAAGAAAAAAAAAAATAAGATTTATAGAAAGTTTACAACAAAACTATACTTTATTATCTCGTGGTAATGAACAAAAAAAAAACATTTAAAAGTCACGTCACTCCAAAAGGATATCAAAATACCATTTCATGTTTACATTACCATGAGGAGCGTTTTATACCAAACTAATTTAAAAATCCTATAGACAAACAAAAGTTTTATATCGTATTAAATTAAGAATAGTTACGAAATGAAATATTGTATTATCCCCAAATTTCGAAATTTGTTTACATTCAAAATAATATAGTTATTTATTAACTAGAAATAATAGAGAAATTAAACTTTTAAATAAAAATAAAGCACTTCACTATATTTCTTTCTTTAAGTTCATAAATATTCCCCGCTTTCTTGATAGAAGAAAAGATATAATAACAATTGGTACAACCTGAATTATCCAATAGCTGGTAACCATGAAGAAATTGTTTCTTTTTACTATTTAATCAGTTAACCAAATGAAACCATTGGTACGACTCCATTTAATATCAATATATCACACAATAAAGAGATACTGTTATTGGGCTAAGATGAGAATAACTCCATATCAATCTTATCTCGAGACATAAATTAGAGACATATCAACATTCTAGCCTCTCCAATAAGGGTCTCTACAGAGACCCACTTCACGAAACATGTCGGTTTGACGTTTAAAGATAAAAAAGAAAGACGCTCTTCCTTACCGCTGTGAATCGAGGCGAGTTACAAGTTGATGAACGATCTACCGGGTATGCTTGGAATTACAGTAGAATCCTTGAATCAAATACAAGTACTCGGCAGATAGAGGGGGTTAGCAATTTTATTAAAAAAAAATTAATCGACTTTATAATGAATTTTCTAAATCTTTTGAAACGGTTACATTGTACGGAGTTAATCGAAAGGTGGTTTTATTATCCTAACTTTGAAATATCCTGTGGAATAATTCCGTTTGCGAATTTTCGTAAAACCTTATTTTTTGGTTACAACCATGTCTCCTAAGCATTGCGTTGTTTGTTTCATGTCAAAATATGCCTTGCTTCAGTTTTTAGAGACAAATTAATTATAGATAAGGAGACAATACAAAGTATTAAGTTATTTTTTAGTAGTTTCTTTGTTATTTGCGTACTTAGGTTAAGTTACGTTTAAGTTGTTTTTTTTTTTAAGTTTTGTTATTGTTATCAATGTTCATTGAAAACTAAGATCACGTCATTGCTTTTAATCATTATTTAAATACAGTGCTTCTGGTATGCCGATATAACATTCCTTCGATATGAGTCGCCAAAGCCCCCCCCCCCCATCGTCTTATTACAAATTAATACAAAAGATAATTATAATAATAGGAAAAGTAGTAAATTGCGGATGGCAAAGTCATTTTGCTCCTAAAAATGAACCAATCCATATTTTTAAATGAAACAAAAACATAATACTTGGAAGACATGTTTGCAATCGAAAAACAAGGTTTTACGAAAATTAGCTAACGAAATTATTGCATAGGATGTTTCAAATTTAGGATAAAAAACCACCTTTCGATTAACCCCGTATAATAAGTCAACTACAAAATTTTATTAAAAAACTCACTAAATTAAAATTTATAAATTTTTACAGTGTACTAAAAAAATCATCAAAATAGTGCTAAAAATAAAAAAAAAACTGAAATACTTTTAACTGAATTTGGCCAAAATTTCCTCCATTGCGTATTTTTGCATCTGAGTATACAGGGTTTCTCATTATATTTTGACCCCCTACTTGTTTTCCTTAATTTCGGGAATACAAAAAAAGTTTCAAATAAAAGTTGTATTATTTTATCTGTACCGACCAACAGTGTCGCAAAAGATCCAAATTTTGTTACAGGGAGTGCCCAATAAAATGCATCTTCAATATTTCAAATGGGACACCCTGTATTTTTTTAGAGTTTTAAGTAGCCCTGCATTTCCTGATTACAAATATATAACACAGTGTAGCATAAGTTTTGTTCTATAATGGCATATGGTACTACTATGCTATACTAAGATAAGAAAAAAATATATTTAAAAAGTCAACAAAATTAATGACTTACAATACTACATTTAAGATACAATACTACATTTAAGATTACAATAATAATCAAAGTGCCCTCCATTGTTATCAATGCACAAGTAATATCTTCGTCTCAAATTTTCTAATGCGTCAGATATTGTTTTATTATGACCATTTAAATTTTCAATTTTCGCGCGAACTTTTGCCGTGATAGTGTTAATATTTGTATTCGAATCAAAATACACTTTTTCTTTTAAAAACCCCCATAAAAAGCTATCACATGGTGTTAAGTCGGGACTAGTTGGTGGCCATGTAATGGTATCCATATTGCCGATCCACACATTAAATTGATTATACAAATGTTCTTGAACGGATACGACATTATGTGGCGGTGCTCCATCCTGTTGCCATATTATACTATTTAATTGATTTTGTTTATAATTTTGATTTCATAATTCATCCACTTCTGTAGTTACATGTCCAAATATGATTCCCCAGTTAATTTATAACCATAAAACGATGATCCAACTATTTTGTTTTGAAATATTCCGCACCAAACATTTATTGATTTTCTTCCTAACTTTTTTATTTGCTTAATTTTTCTTTTTCTATTATTTTTCTGTTCCCACACCTATTTCTTCTATTAAAAATGCCTGAAGTTGGAAAATTTGATTCATCTGTCCATAAAATATTATAAAAATAATTAAGATCATTGTTCAAATTTGTAAGCATGTCTTGACAGAACTGTAAAGGCTTTCTCTTATGAACATCGGTAAGTTCTTGTACCGGTAATATTTTGTACGGCTTATAGTTGTGCTTTTTTAAAACTCTATGTATCGTCGCACGGCTTTTCTTTAATGCATTAGTAGCATTGTTTAGACTAGTTTCGGACTTTTCTAAAATAAAAATGTTATTATGGATTTAATCTATTATTTAAGTATTTAATTTTTACCTTCAAAGTAAAGCAAAGTATTAAGATCTTCATCATCATTTACTACGATAGTATGTTTCTGCCATTCAAACATATTTGCATTTATGACATGACGATAATTATATAAAAATGTATTTGCAGGAGTCTGTCGATTTTATCAAATCTATTTCTCGATAAAAAAAAATAAAAATTAAGATGTTATTTTCTTGATTAACTGAAAGCAAATTTCACACAAATTAGACTCATATTATGAGACTAATCCACCAAGAAATCTCAGTTAATTGTTTAAACTTTTTATTAGTTATGACTAATATTTTCCACACAATAAAAAACAAAAAAAACTAATATGTTACAAAAAAATACTTATTATTGACTAAATAATCAGGAAAATCAAATTATTTTGCACTTTTTTATTATGAATTATTGTTTTGTTAAATGCATCTTGATTCTTCTTCTCTACTCTTCTATATGCATATACTTATTTAAATTATTAGCACACAAAAAGAAAAAATATCGAAAATAAATCATGAAACTTCAAAAATCCGTAGATAAATAACAAATAAAAAAAGTAGAAACCTTGCCCTAAATGTAAACATCAAAATATACAAGTTTAATTAAAGTTGTAAGGTTTTTTCTATAGATTTGGTATTAATCTATATGAATTATTATTAATAATAATCTGAACTAACCTGTAACTTAGAATTCTGGAGCAAAATGTTTTCGAAATCATGATGTTTGTGTGATTTTTCATACATCTCCTGTTGCTGTTTCTGCAGCTGGTCGAGCTCATTTTTAAGCACGGAAGCTTTCTTCACATAGTCTTCCCGTTGCTTGATAATTTGACTGTTGTGTAGCTGAGTTTCTTCCGCCAAACCTACAAATAAATTCATATTAATCATATCAAAATACTAACTAGAATTGTATGTGTATATTTGAAATTAATTGTACTTTGGTAACCTTTTCATCGATTCAGCCCATATCTTCCATTTCTGAAGATATCCTACAAAAAAATCGTTAAAATACGGAAATAGCTGAACAACTATAACTAAAGAGTAATAGGAAAACAAACACAATTTTTATAGTCAACAATTAATTGAAGAGGGTGACTTCAACTGTTGGGAAATTCCACGACTTCAGTGGCAGCATTATTTAATTATTTTTTTTAGGATTCAATTATTTTACTAGAAATTAATTCCATCGTAATTACTTGTATAGATTGATCTGCGAATTTCTTAATTGCCTTACAAGTCTTGCCTTACTATTTCAAAATTATAGGTACCTAACTTCACACAAAGAATGCTTTTCCCTGAATTAATTTTTTAAATCACACATATCATTGAATAACGGTTCATATTATCTAAAAACTTTAATGACATTTCACATCTTATAGACCACCTCATATATACAACAATTAGCTAATCTCTACCCTTGAGAAGGAAATATGTGCTGCCTTGACTTCTGTGAAGATCATATTACCATAAAATTCATTTGTCTTTATTTTATATCAATATATTATATATTTTGGAATTTTAACACATGGACAATGGTTTCAATCAGTGTTTAACTTACCATTGTAGGTATAATATCAATTAATAAATTTCTTTTCAACTTCTTTGTATAAATATTTTTACTTATTTTGTTTAAGGAAAAAGTTTACTTAGGAAGCCCATGCCAGACTTGGGCTGCAGTGTCATTTGATGGATGGACCATTTGCAGTATATATATTGCATCTGTTTCTCATAAAATCAAAACGAATATAACAAATAATGTTAAAAGTCCATGACATCTCACATGACTGCTTTTTAAAACAATTGCTAGCGGGTTTTTCTCAAATTAATCAATTTTCAATGTAAATTTTATAATGTTTTTTATAGTCAAATGTATACCTTTTTAAATTGTTCTATTCCTAAAGCCAAAAAAAGGGCAAGCAACTCTACTTCCAGGTTTCCAAACTGGTTCTCTCAAGATTTGATCCATAAAATTAAAAAGAAAAATAGTCTGCATCATTTGTGTTTAAATAAAGCCTCGAGAGCCCAAAAAGTGTAGAATTTCAGCTTTTAAGAACTGATATTAAAATCAAACCAAATATGAGCATAACTTATACAAATGATTACTTAAAAACCATCTACTTGCTGACTTAAACAAATTCTGGACTTTCTTATAGTGGAATTCCCATAGAAATGACATTAAACAACTCCAAGTTACACCTTTTGATATTGCAAGTGCCTTTTCTAAATATTTTGCATCAGTGTATGATACACCTGTCTGCACACATTGTCATTCTCAAAGTACTGAGTGGGGTTCTTTTACCTTTAAATATATCACAGAATTACATGTTGTAATTAGTATTAAAAAACTTAAACCCAAAAAATCTACAGGCCCTGATGAAATACCACCCTATATTGTGGCGTACATGCTTTTGGCACACAAATTAAATTCAAGGCCAGAATTGCTCATTGTTGGAGAAAGTTAGGGGGTCTTTCAAACATATAGAAACTGTATCATATCTTAAATCCAAGCACAATTAGATAATATGGAATTATTATTTATTACACATTTGATAAGGTAAATCACTGTATTCTTTTAAATAAACTGGTACAGTTTGGTTTCTCAAGAAAAGCTTTTAATTTATTAAAATCTTATTTGTCAGATAGAAAGAATACAGTAAAAGTAGGTAATTACTTTTCTCACCAATATGTGTCATCCTCAGGAGTCCCACAGGGGACCAAACTAGGACCATTGCTCTTTATTTTATTTATTAACAACTTGCCAGACTGTATTAAATCTTGTAACAGCTTAATGTATGCCGATGATTTTAAATGTTTTAAAACAATCTTTAATAAGAAAGATGCAGTCAAATTGCAAGATGATCTAAGATCAGTAGTTATTCAATAGTTTAACAATTCAAAAATGACTCTTAGGCCCAGTTGTTGAATCAATAGTTAACTCATGAATTAAGTAAACAATGATTAAAGTTAATTGAAAGATTATTTCTTAAAAAGTTGTTCAATGCATGTTAACTTTCGAATTTATTAAACTCAAGTACTGTAGCGGTGACAATGTTGCCAGTTATTAATTAATGGCTTGGAACAAATTTTATCATAAAAATTATAAAGATAAATGTGTTCTGTGGTATAAACATTGGTGTTCATATTATGTACGTATATAAAAGTAAATGACTTTGACGTTGTGTTTACATTACATTTCATTTTGCACTTTGAATTTGTTGTGTTTATTTGAGATTTGTATAAGTGATTATATTTGTATTTTAAATTGCAAAAAATGCAATAGCAAAAAATTTTTAAATTGCAATAGCCATAATTATTATTATCGACACGAAATTATAATGGCTTATAATCTATAATTTTGTAATATTTTATAATCTAGAACTGTCAAGAGACAATATTTAATCTAAAACTAGAAAGTAAGGTTACAAATCTCTAGTTAACACCATTAATCCTTCGTTTTTGGGCGATTAAGGTAATCTCTGGTTAACAGATGGTTAAGTGCTAAACTTGCATTGAACAACGCTATATTAAGTTTAATTGAAGATTATTTTTAATCTGAAGATAATCTCCAATTGAACAATCGGCCCTTAATGTTAAAAAGTGTGCAGTAGTTTCATATATGCGAAAACTCAATTGTGTTATTGAAGATTATTATATTAATGATGATTGAGTTAAGAGAGTGAGTGTTATGAAGGATCGTGGAGTTAAATTCCAAATCAACATGTAATTCAATATACACTTTTATGAAATAACTAACAGAGCTGATTGTGCTTTGGGTTTTGTCATTAGAAATAGCAAAAATTTCAGAATAAGCACAATTATAAAACTCTATAATGTCCTGGTGAGACCACATATGGAATATGCTTCAATCATTTGTCTCCCACTCATCACCCTCCTCAATTTCTTGTTGTACTAAAGTTCTTCAATCATTGGTTATTAGTTGCAAGTATTATTAACTGTATAATTCTTTCTTAATATACATACCGCCCTCTTTGTCACTACGGTAGTTGCTTCTACTCCAGTCATTGGTTTGTAAATTTCCTTGGTTAGAAATTTGTGCTTGAGATGCTGGTGTCAGTTGAACAATTGGAGGAGGAGGTTGTGACATCTACAATACGAAACATTTAAAAATGAGTTTAAAATTTGTTTTAATTTAACATTTTACATACCTGATTCTCATACCCGCCATAATTTTGATATCCATAATTATGAGAATAGTTCTCAGGATACTGGTTGTAGGTATTATGATACCCTGTATTGGTATATTGTGGAATTTGCTGGAAAAAATAGATAAAAATATACCCTTACTTCCTAAACGGATCAAAAGCTTGTAGAAACACAGTCAGAGTAAGGTCAAAACACATTGCAGCAATTTAAGGTAGGCAGAGGTACCATAATAAGAAATAAACGAATCAAGATGGAAAACAGATGTCGATATGAAGACATCTAGAACTACAGAGAGAACAGATGAAAACTATAAATGTCATTGGAATTTTTAGAAAATCTGATGAAAATGACTGATATACATAAAGTAACTTACATATGCATTATAATCCATCTAATTAAATAACAAATAAAAAAGCAATAAAACTACAACTAAAGAGCGTGTTTCTTTGTACAGCAACGCAAATTAGTGGATAAACAAGAGTTTAGTAGATTTAATCATACAATACACGCTTTGATTAGCAATAAGACCATGCCAAACATTAATTTTACACCTATTAAAATATGTTGATAACTATACAGTCATAAAAGTAAACTTATCGAATCGAAGTAATGACTTACATTATTGTTATACATAGCTAGTTCCTACACAGGTAAATCTAACACTGTAAGCGTCTGAAAGCAAACTATTAATCAAATATTTGCATTCATTGTTAAAAATGAAAACTCCGATTTGAATATACAAGTAAAGTTTTCTGTGAAATAGTTCATTAACACAAACGATTCATTATTATATTCTTTAATAGAATTTTAATGATTTCTGCCACTTAAACACTCTAATAATAATAGATTACTATAGAAATATGATTTTTAAATTAATAAAATATACACACGCCATTTGTATGCTTTTTGTCATATGTCATCTGTCATTTCGATTTCGTGTTGGTGTTTCGTTACTGTCTACATTCCATGTCAATGTGTGCCACGATCGACTTAGCTATTCAGCCAGAAGTTTAAAAAAAGAGTATTTATTCAACCGTACAATCTTTATGACTAGATTGATGATATTGTTTCATTTAGTTTCAAATTATAAATTCTTTTTAGCTATTTTTGATTACTCTCATTTTGCTTTCTTAAAGTTGTTGCTGAAGCTTTTGCTTTAATTTTTTATGAATATTATCCAAATTGATTGAAAACATCTAGGATGGATATAAAAACAAGTAATACAGATTAAATTTATTATTTTTGGCAACTAATATCGTTACATAATGGATTTCTCTAATTTACAATCACATTTACAAGCACTAAGTTTGACCTGGTAATTTGCATAGCAATTCAATCGAAATGTCAAGTTGGAACTGTATTGGAGGCATCAAAAAGGGAAACTATGATTTTTATTTACACTCACTAATTTGTAGTTCGTTTTTCGATAGTAATAAATATTTACATAAACAAAATATTGGTAAATTTACAAAAAATGAAATCATGTTATATATATTCGGCGAACAATATCCAATATGTACAATTTAAAATAGTAAATAACAGAGGAAAGAATACTCTAGAGAATTTATCAATGTTTATGGCTCGATTTCGTTGTTTCGCCGCCGGACTCGTTTGGGCTTTTGGTGTAGTAAGAGTTGTGTTATCTTTTGCTATTTTATCGGCGCTAGTTGTTTTTTTCGGTTTCTCTGGTTTCTTTGGAGCGTCTGAATCCCCCAGAACGATATTGACTAAACAATATTCCATTAAAGCCATGAAGACAAATCTAAAACAAGAAAAACACGTTTAAGAGCAATACATATATAATTTTTATGAATTCTACTGCTAAAATATTAATTAATATCTTTTACGTATTTCTAGAATCTTCTTCGAGTAAGGTAAACGTAGGGGATATGACGCACAATTCGGGTTTTTGGCAGATCTCAAACGGTAATACCGATAATAACGTGTTGATTAGTGTTTATGACACCTAGTACTATCAGGTACTGACAGCATAAATTCCAGCTAAATCCTACAATAAGAATTACTATAATTTAAAAAACAAAAAAAGTCAACTTTTGCGTTATATTCCCGACAGGGGGATCTTCTAGTAAGATCTTCTTTTTTGCTGGCTTTAGAAGCTTGAATGTCATCTCCTGCTTTGCAATTTTGATTGCTCGTTTGGCCTTCTTAGCTTCTATATTTTCAGGCGTTGTCAAAGTTGAGCATGTTGTTTCTTTTTCGCTACGGCAGGTGCATCACATTTTGGTACTGGTGACACAATTTGTAGAAGTTTCGTAGGAGTTGCTTTTGTGGTTTTATGAGAATGTGGGCCAGTAGGCTTCTTCTTTGGAGTATTAAGTGAGAGTGAACCAGATGTGCTGGGTTGAGGATCCAAGGCTGAGCTAACACTTTCGTCGTCCTTGTCCATAGAGTTGGACTCCAAGGTTTCTTGTAGGCCAGTGTAATTAAGAATAGAGGAGGGCGCGAATGGAAACACCCCGCAGGCCCGGAAGCCTTCTAAAGCCGTAGATATTGTTGCAGCTTGTGACCAGGCTTTCTGTAGAAGTTGGCCGAAGTGCCTGAGTTCTATCTTCTTTCCAGGATTTGCATTTGCCCATTCGATAGCTGCACTTCGGTAATATACCTTCAACGGTTTGAAAAACGATCGGTCGAGAGGCTGTAATAATGAGTCGTGTGGCTGAGAAGGCAAATAAAGTGAGACATCATTTTCAGCGCTATCTCTAATATTACCGCGAGTTAATGTAGATCCTGTCCGTCGAGCAGTATAGGCATGTACCAGCTGCCTTCCTTGGAATAAAGTGGTTTTCCAGCCAATTTTTAAAGAGGTCTTCATTTATGTAGGCTGATTTTCCACCAATCACCACTTCAGAACCGTTAGGCATATTATCGAGCCACACTTGTTGTTTGTATACACCTTTGAACACTATGTAGGGAGGTAAAAAACTTCCTTCTGCATTTCAACAGGCAGCAACTGTCACTGTCTCTCCTTGTTCTTTTGATTGCCGCACTTTAACTGCCTTGCTGCCTTTGGCCGCTATAACTTCTTACGGAGGGTTGTTCAATTGCAAACCTGACTCATTTACATTGTAAATATTTCGGATTTGTTCAAGAGGTTTAACGATTCTAACGCCTTTTTTAACAAATTGAAATAATCATTCACTTCTTCCTTTACCATACCATCCGCGCGGGCCATAGACACTCCTTGGGCCCTTCGAATCGCCAATGATGGCTTCCGTTCGAGAAATGCGTTAAGCCATTCCTCTCCTGCTTTGCGTTTCTCTACATTGAAATGGCCGTAGGAAACTCGGCCCATTTGTTCAGCCAGGATGAAAGCCATTCGGCAAAGTGCATCCTTTGTTGGCGCGTACCCTGCAGCCTGCAATCTCTTGACATGAAGCAATAATTTTTGTTCTGCGTCCAGGCCAAGGGCAGGAGGTTGTCCTAGCTTACCTTTAATGCTGTTCTTTATTTTGAGTCGGAATCGTAGGGTTTTTTTCCGGTATATCATATTTTTCAAAGCAGCATGAAGATTATCTTCAGTCCAGCAGCCCCGCATGTTCTTACAGTTGTAGCTAGGCATATCTACAAACGAAAAATAAGTCCTATATTAAAAATTAGAAATGTTTTATTTATTTATATGACGCGCGTCATATCCACCACAACAACAACGCGTCATATCCGGACTCGACGCCATTTTAAGTAAAAAAATGCAAATAGTAAACAAGAAGGGTTATGTGTCTAAATAAGTCATGTTGTTAAGTTTAAAAATGCGCAACAACGTAGAATACACTAAAGCAACACAAAATTAATGCGCATTGAAACCGTTGCGAGAGAGTATAGGAGACAAATGGACGAAGAAATGGAGAGCCTGGAGGTGGGGGAAAACGTAGAGGAAACCGTGGACAAAATGTAAAAACATGAGAAAGCAACAAAAATATTGGGGAAAACCAAACCAGTTAAAGAAAACGAATGGTTTGACAAGGTCCAAGAAGCAACAGATAACAAAAACAGGGCATACCTAAAGACAAATCAAGCTGGATGCACAAGAAGAGCAAAGGAAGAATACCGGACACTAAGAAGAGAAGAAAAACGATTACATAGAAGAAAAAAAAGACAATTTGAGCAAAAGTAATTGGAAAGCACAGAATTTCTAAGAAATCAAAATGAAACTCGAAAGTTCTACAGAAATCTAAACAAAATGCGCCAAGAATAAGGAGCTGTAAGGATGTAGAAGGAAACATCCTAAATGATACGGCCTCAATCCTAAACAGATGGGTTGAATTTTTCGATGCAAAATTTAATGGCCATCATATCGAAGAAGCAGATAACACCCTAGCAAATCGAAATGATTGGAATCCTTTCTAACCCAAACGAAAGACCACCTACCATCGACAACGTTGTCCAAGCCATTAAAAAGCTTAAAAATAATAAATCACCAGGAGTTGATCAAATTTGCAGTGAGCTCTACAAGAATGGTGGCGATGCCCTACTACAGACACTGCATAAGCTTTTACTTCTTGTTTGGCATAATGAGACCATGCCTTGTGAATGGTCTCAAGGCGTGATATGCCCGTTACATAAAAAAGGTGACCAGCTCCAGTGTGACAACTATAGAGTATAACTCTGTTAACAACTGCTTACAAAATACTAGCAAATATTCTCTACGAAAGGTTGCAAGTTTACACAGTGGGCATAGTTGGTAAATATCAAGTTGGATTCACTCCAGAAAAATCAACAATTGACCAGATTCATTCAATAAGACAGATTCTCGAGAAAACATTAGAATTCAATATTGAAACCCATCACCTATTCGTTGACTTCAAGGCAGCATACGACAGTGTCAAGAGAACAGTGCTATACCAATCAATGCATGAGTTTGGTATACCAGAGAAACTTATCCGACTAACGAGAATGACAATGTCTAACTTAGAAGCCACTGTTAGAATACAGGGAGAGAGTTCTAGATCCTTTGAGATAAAGGATGGACTCAGACAAGGAGATGCTCTGGCTTGCCTCCTATTTAATATTGCCTTAGAAAAGGCAGTCCGAGATACACGAATTAGGGACGGCGGTACTATTTACAATAGATCGATACAGGTCTTAGCATATGCTGATGACATTGACATAATAGGGCGTAGCAAGCGAGATGTTGAGCAATATCTCCTAGAATTGGAAACAGCGGCAAAACAAGTCGGTCTAGTCATCAACGAAGACAAAACCAAGTACATGTTGGTTACAAAGGATCCGATAGCAAATGAGGAACGAGAAACAGTCTTTGGAAGTCATACCTTTGGACGTGTTGACAACTTCACATACCTTGGGTCGCTATTGACTGCTACCAATAAAACAAGCGAAGAAATCAAAAGACGAAGAAATCTTACAAATAGGGCATACTATGGACTCCAAAAGCATTTCCACTCAAGAAACATTCAAAGAAGAACTAAAATTATTATATACAAAACATTGCTGAGGCCGGTCCTCACATATGGAGCAGAAACATGGACACTAACGCAGAAATATGAAAGACTTTTGGGAATATTTGAGCGTAAAATACTCCGCAAAATATTTGGAGCTGTAAACGACCAAGGGCAGTGGCGCAGAAGATATAATTTTGAATTGTATCAGCTCTTTGATGAGCCAGATGTCATAACGTTCATTAAAACACAGCGACTTAGATGGGCTGGACACATAATACGAATGCCAGAAAATACCATTGCTAAAAAGCTAACCACAGGAACACCTGTAGGAAAAAGAAGCAAAGGCCGACCGCGAATTAGGTGGTTAGATGGAGTAGAAACCGACTTACGAATATTAAAAATCAGAAGATGGCAACATGTTGCCAAAAACCGAACAGAATGGCGACGAATCTTAGAGCAGGTCAAGATCCACAGAGGATTGTCGAGC